ACAGACTAAACCACGTCTCGTGGAGGAGAAAGCCCAGTTCCTGGAGCAATCCTCACAGACTGAGTGGCCATGCAGGCCTGGTACCTGCCTCCAGGTGAGCAAAGCTCTGTGAGATGGAGGGACCAGGACAGGGAAGGGCTGCTCACGCCATTTCCTGCGCTCCCGCAGGGACAAGGGAGACTTTGAGAAGCCCCACGTAAACAAAAAACAAAAGCAGGCCAGTTGCATATTTGGCAGATCAAGATCACAATAAAAGCTGGCACAGCAGCCTCCTCCAAAGCAAGATCTACCCCCAAAGCTTCCCTTGATTTGGATTTGGGGTTTTTTTTTCTTCCCTTTAGCTCGTTACAACCCAACCTGACAGCTAAGTGACACTGTTGTTGAGACAGAAGGGCTGGAAGGACTTTGCCACAAACCCCACAGCAGTGATACCTCTGTGGAAATGTCCCTGTTCAGGCTCTCTCAGACATATTAAATAACTATCACAGCCAGAGAAAGATTCCTGCAAACACAACAAAGGAAAGGGGAACTCAGATGTTCTTAGAAAATAATAAGTGAAACTTTCCAATTTATTTCCCAGTCTTCATCCGAGTTTACTTAGAAATGCATCCTCCAGCAAACTCCCTGAAAGACATCAGAGCCACCTTATTGACCCCCAAGCAGAGCAGACCCCAGAACTCCCAGGGCTGCCAGCCCAGCTGCTTTTATCAAAAAAAAAGAAAATACGGAGACTCCACGTAAAAGCTGACAGCCCATACAAAGTCATCGCTGCCTCTGGGAAGTTTGTGCTCATGCTTGAAGCTCTGTCACTTAAAAATACACATTTTGGTTTGCATGCACATGTACCCCCCTCTCCCAGCCAGACTGAATTCCCAGCGTCCAACCTCTGTCCTCCACATGCAGACTGGCCAGATCTCCTCTCAGGTTCTTGCTGGAGGAAGCAGATGGAGTTCTCAGCACCACATGGCAGCTTTTCTCACCTTTAATCCCAACATCTCTGAATTCTGCACAGTTTTCCACCAGCTCTGAACCACCACACACAGGCACCAAAGCCAGAGGCAGCAGCGTTTGCTGAGATAATGCTCCCTCTCCTCCTCCTCCTTTACAGTGAGGGTCCAACGCCCACCTCCAGCCTGATTTTCTGCATTCAGTATATCCATGAACTCAGGCAAAAATTCCTGCTTCCTAGGACAGATCCCACTCCTCCCTTGCCTCTCTGCCCCCATTACAGACTCTTCCAGCATAGTTTGTTTTCTCTGGTAAAGCATGTGTGGCCCAAAGTCCAGTGCCAAACTAACCAGACCCCTGTGCTGGATCCTCATCTGCCATTTCCCACTCAGCACTCCGAGTTCACCAGGCACTTCCTCAGCTTTTTAGCTGCAAATTTCCTTCAGGTCACTGCCAAAACCATCAGCAGGATGCTTATGAGACCGTTGACAAACTGTCCCCAATAACATCCTAGGAACCCACAATTTAAAACGGGTTATTTTGAGTTCATCGCCCTTCAGTTAATTCAGCAGGAAAACCCAAAGGCATCGTTGCAAACGCTTCAGGGAAGCCAGTGGTGACAACACAGCGTTAGCTGAGGGGGTTCGAAATAAACGTCCAGCCTGCAACACCACCAAACTTACAGCCAGAACCAGCTCCTGCCCCACACGGAGGGGAGGCACCTGCTCCAAAAACCCAGCCCCGTGTGACCCCCGGAGGGTAACCGGGTGAGAACATGAACCAGCTCCCCGGCGGCACAAGAACCTCCCACCCTCCACTCCGCTCCCAGGCGGGATCCCCGCGGCCCCGGGGAGAGGGGCAGCGAGCCGGGCCCGCGGGCTCAGCCCGGGGAAGGGCCCAGGCCCCGAGCGCCGCAGAGCCGGAGCGGTGCAGGGCAGGGCTGCGCCGGCCAACCCGCCCCCGCCCGGTGTGGTGGAGGGGCCGCCGCCTCAGCGCTGCCGCCGCCGCCGCCGCCGGCGGGCGGTGCCGCCCCTCACGGACAGGCCCTGGGGAGGCCGCGCTGGCCGGGCGGCGGGGAGGAGGAGCGGCAGCGCCGGGGCGGCGGGAGGGCGGCGGGAGGGGGTTGCCGGCGGCCCCCCCGGTGCCCTCCGCCCCCGGAGCACCCCCGGTCTCACCTGCCCCGTCCGGGGGTCCCGCCCGGCTCCGGCCGCGCCGCTCCCGCCTCTGCCGCGTGCGCCTCCCGCCCGGCCCCCCCGCCGCCGGCGCGCGCGCCGCCGCCAATCAGCGCCCGGCACCGCCGGCGCCCCCGGCCAATCAGCGCACGGAACGCGTCCCCGCCCAGCGCCGCCGACTGCCAGGCCACGCCCCTCCCGCGGCTCCCGCCAGGCCTATCCCGTGACACGCCGGGGTGGGGCGGGACCCGATGCCGGGCGGCCAATGAGAAATCACAGCGCGTCCCGCCGTGGCCAATGGGAGGCCGCGCTGCGCTTCCCCTCAGGAACGGGCGAGGGGGGTGGGAAGCCCCGGGTGGTGTCTCCCTGCAGCCCCTGGAAGGGATGAGCCAAGCCCAGCCCCGGACAGGTCTGGAGGGTTTGGGGGGTATGCACGAAGGGATGATGGTCCTTGGCATAGGACAACCATCCCTGACTGGCACTGGGGCTGCCCCATGCCTGGCTCTGAGAGGGCTGGCAGCTTCCTGCCTTCCCGACAGCTGCTGGGTCTATGCAGATTAATTTCCTGGTGCAATTTTTCCAGGCTGGGAAAAGGGGGAGGTGGGTGATGGCTAGGGAAACCTCCAGGCTGGAAAATGAAGGAGGAAGCAGAACCCTGGGTTGGCAATGGGGCAGGGGGAACACCCAAAGGAGGTGATGGGGAAGGGGAGCAGGCAGAGGGGTGATGAGGAAGAGGAAGCACACGGAGGGGGAGGTGGGACAGCCAGAGCTGTGACGTGGGGCTGATGGTGCCACCCTGCAGAGAAGCTGCTCCAGAACATGTGGAAAGTCTGTGGAATGTGTGAGCAACCCAATGACCTCTGGGCTGCTGGGCCTACTGCTGTGCCAAGGAGTTCTGAGCCCCCGTGGGGTGGAAGAGGTGCAGGATCAATGCAGGACGTGCATGGATAAGGCTCAGCTCCTCATTAACACTGTGCTCCAAGGGCCCAGCCAGGTCTCCACTGACAGCCTCAGGATGGCACCTCGGCAGAGCAGCTGGGCCTGGCTGCTGACCTGGCTGAGTGATGAGGGGCCATCGTCTGCTCCCAGACGTGCTGGGGCTCCCAGAACCTCCATGGGATGTTGGAATGGGGCCCAGCCCTGGGAAGTATCCAAGGCTGGAAAGCAAGAGGCAGTTGGGTGTCACTGCTCTTAGCCCCCTATGCTGTGACAATAGAGTTTGGGGGGGTGGCTGTCCCCTGTGGGGCTGAATAGGGACCCCCAGGGGTCATCAACACACTCCACTTTCATCCAGTGCCTGCCAGAGCAGTTTCAAAACCATGCCTGTCACAGCCACTTAGAGGAGCTCTTCCTGAAGGTGAGCTTTGTGCTTAACTGCAGCTGTGCCAAGGGTCAGAAATCCTGCTGGGAGCAGAGCTCAGGCCAGGCCAGGCCATTTCTCAGCAGGCCCCCTGGGAGCAGGCTGAGTCAAATCCAGCTCTGGGTTGGCCTGGGAACTCAGCTGGGTCTCTGGAGGCATCAGCACCCTGACATGTTATGGGCATACGAGCCTGGCATGTTGGTGCAGCCCATGGCACCAGACACACAGCCCTGGGATGCCCCTGGGATGCCTCCTGACTCCCTGCACCCTTCCAATGCAGGGAGCAGAGTTCTCTCATTTCTCCCTGCCATCTCCCTCACCCCAAGTCCAACAATGCTTTGCTAAATTCCCTCAGCAGATGCCACCAGATGGAAGTTCCACTTCTTCCTGGGCCACTGACCTCCTGTCTCTTCACCTCCCAACTCTGTGGCAGCCTTTTGTCTGTGCCCCAAACCTGGGACTTGGACAGCAGGAAGGAGTGGGGAGAAATTCCCCATTGATCCTGGGCTCCAAAGCTCATGGCTCGGTCCAAAGGTTTTGTGTGCTGATAGCTGGGGCCAGGCCTCACCCCCCAGCTGGCTCGTGGCACCCAAGGGACTCGTTTCAGTAGCCAGTGGCTCAGGAACTTCTTGGTCTGATGTTCCTCACTGGTGAAAAAATAATACACAGAGAGCAAAAGTGTTTGAGGTAACACAGCAGAAAGCTCAAGGCCAGCACAACCCTGCTCCTGAGAGATGCACTTGGTCAGAAAAGGACAAGGGGAAGAGACAAGAGCAGCTCTGCAGGAACACAGCGAGTCTCCCAACCAGACCCTGGTGGCCCCACTGCCAGCCAGCTATAGCCAGGCCTGGAATAAAACATCCTTGGTCTGCCATCCTCCCTCCCCTTTGGGGCCTCCCAACAACCTCAAACTGAGCAAGCCCATGCTGGGGAGCACCAAGTGCAAAGCTGGTTAAGTGTCTCTCTTCATTGTCCCCAGACAGAGCCTGTCCCCAGCTGTGACAGAGATGATCTGTCCCCCCCACAGCCACTTCCACCCCATCCCTGGCTTTACCCATTGTCCAATAAAGGGATTTTTGCAGCTGACACCCTGCTCCTCTGCCTCTAGCCCACAGTGGGTGGGGTGGGTGTGTTACGCTGCCTCGGGGGGATGCAGAGCAGGCAGGAGGAGAGAAATCATTGGGAGCTCAGGGAGGAAAGGACCCCCTGCCTTTGGGACAGGCTGTACAGATGCACCCTGGGGGTTTCCATGCCTCCCCCTCGCAGGCTGGCAGCTTGGGAAGCAGATTCCCCTGCTCCCCAATCCTCATGCTGCCCCAGAGGTGGAGCAAGGATGTGATTCCCCTGGGAGTCACAACAGATCCTCCAACCTGTGTCTTGTGCACTGCTCCCACAGCTCGTCACATTAGGGGCCCAGTGCAGTTGTCACCTCCCACCAGCATCCCTGCTGGCGAGTGAGAGCCCCTCCCTGTGCCCCCCACGCCCTCCCTGCCCTCCACAGCCACATCCAAACCCTGCTGTGCCTTGGCACCAATTCAGCTTTATTGCACGTTCTGCAAAGTCACAGCCAGATCCACGGATTGGTCTGGCAGCAGGAAAATGAGAGGGCTCTCCTGCCCCCTCCGAGCGCCCAACACTCCAGTGCAGGCAGCACAGTGTCCTGGGCTGCTGCCACCCTGTGTCCCTGCAAGGTGGCAGGAGAGCTCAGCGGGATGGAGGTCCCTCTCCACTCTGGCTGCAGGACAACCAGGATGGGAGAGCCTTGCAGGCAGGATCAGACTGCAACAAGAGCAGCCAGTCCTGGCTGAGCCCTTCCTCACAGAGCCCCAAGCCCTGTGCCCGAGGCCAGAGCTCCTCAGGACCCACACGGTCCTTGCAGAAATCCTGGTCTTCATGGCTACACCTGTGGCAGGAAATTGAGGACAGCAGTGATGAATTCTTCGAATTTATCCTGATGGACTATGTGCCCTGCACCTTTGATGTACTGGATCTCTGCCTTGGGGAAGAGGCGCTGGATCTCTGGGTAGTCTCTGGAGCTGCAGGACAAGGGAACGTGCCATGGTCAGAGGTCCCTCCTGGTGTCTTCCCTCCCCTTCCTCATGCAGTAGGTGATCCCAGGTCTGACCACGTCCCCTCCCCAGGTCCCCTCTCCAGCATCACTGTCACCAGCTGCTGGAGGCACAGACCTTGCTCAGGACCTCCCCCACCCCGGGGGCTTCCTCCCACCCTCAGCAGCTGCAAAGAGCACAAAGGGGTCAAACCACAGACTTGGAACCGCTTCTCTCCAGTCCCACCTGATATAGGGCGACTCAGACCCTCCCAGGAAGAGCGTGGGGCCAGGATACGGCTTGTGGAAGACAGGGAAGTTCATGATATCTGTCAGGTGCCGGGAAATAGCCTCCAGGTTCACCCTCCACACATAGCGGCCCTCAGCCTCCACTAGGTTGGTGAGGAGGAACTGTCTGAGCTGTGGAAGCTGCCACAGAAGGGGATGGTGCACTGTTCAGTAGCAAACTGGGATGTTCTGGCACCTCCACCTCCATCTCCCACGGGATTTCCTACCTTGACCACAGGCTGCAGCTGGTCATCAGCCAGCTGTCGGGCTGCAGAGCGGGACAGGCCAGCCGGGACCTTCACTGCCTTCATGGCAGAGATGTAGGCAGAGAATTCGGACACGGGGGCGGTCGAGCCAGGACCAATGTCCACGGCGATGAGGCGCTCCACCAGGTCTGGCTGGGGACACAAGCAGGGCATGTCCATGCCAGGATCTCCCAAGATCCCTCCAGTGGGAGAGGGTACAGGACTCTACTCCCAGTCAGATTCCCTGGAGGCTCTTGGCTCCCTCCTGCTTCAGTAGAGACCTCCGTGTGCCCTTCCCAGAGCCCCTCTGCTTGGCACTGATCTCCAAGCTCCCTCTCCATTGGTGCTGGAGGGACAGGGCAGAGCTTTGGGCTGGTGGACATGGACTTGCTCCTGCACCCCACCCTGATGGAGACAAGGCCCTGTGGGGCTGGGGGCAAGGCTGGCACTGGTGAACACCCCTGGAAGTGCCACCCCCTTCCTACAGCCCTCCCAGGAGCCCCCTGAGCCTGTTCCACCCTGCCCCCAGAGCCCTGTGCCTGCTGACCCGCTGCAAGGCCAATGTCATGGCAGTCTTGCCACCCATGCTATGTCCCAGCAGGATGCACTTGGCAATGCCCAGGCGGCTCAGGAGGTGCTGCACGTCCAAGCTCATGGCCTCGTAGGTCATCTCTGGGCTGTGGGGGCTCCCGCCGTGGTTCCGGGCGTCCACCGTCAGCACCTGCCTGGGCAGGGGCACCGTGTCACCCTGTGGGCACTGCCCACGGTGCCCCTCCTCAGGGTGCCCCCTCGGGTCTCACCTTGCCGCTCCCGCGCCGCACCAGCGTCTTGGCCACCGTCTGGAAGTTGCCGTGGCTGCCGAAGAGCCCGTGGAGCAGGACCAGGGGTGGCCGGTCCTTGTGACCCTCCAGCACCACGTGGGCCAGGGGCACTGCGCTGCAGGGGAAGAGAGAGGTGTGGGGGCACGGCCAGGGGTGTGGGGGATGGAGGGATGAGCCCTGCCCCTCTGGCCAGCCCTGGGCAGGCACATCTGCAGGGCTGGGCCCAGCTCTGGCTCCTCAGCACAGCAGGCACAGGGAGCTCCTGCAGCGGCTCCAGCGCAGGCTGGGAGGATGAGGAGGGCACTGGAGCATCTCCCTGCCCAGGAAAGGCTGAGGGAGCTGGGGCTGTTGAGCCTCCAGAGCACCCCCTGAGAGG